GAAATTAGCCCACTGTGGTTCAGGAGAAAAAGATGAAATTGTAAAATTTTACAATAACAGCAACAATAACAATGACATACACCGAGAGAAGCTCACTTGAGCCTTCAGCTCAGGTGATCTTATATACATGTAAGTCTAGAGCAGAGTGAATTATTACCTGAACTTCCTTATCTTCATATAACAGCTTCTGCTTATTAGCAGGAATCTTCAGCTTGATACTGATATGCATCTGGACATCTGATAATGTCATAAAAGGTAAGTAAGGTATTTGTGCAGCATCTCCATTTAGAACCGTGACATTCAATATTTCTTTTCCAGAAGTTTTAGGAGCTGGTGGAGTGTAAGTTGCTTCATATTCTCTAAACATTTCCTCAAGAATAGCAATGAACCACTGAATTGTAGGACTGTTAGGAGAAACAGAAATGGAACATCCCGGGTGAGGGCATCGGTGCTTCTTCTTGCAAAAATCTACCACACACTAAAAATATGAAGATGTATACATGTATATATATATAAAAGAAAAGGCACATCAGATACCATTATCTTTGCATTAATTAACATTCACAGCTGCCTGAATTTTATTAAATCAAGCCATATGTTAAAAAGAAACATTTTTGTTTAACTAAATATAAAAATAAAATAAAAATGTTGTTTATTGAGAACTTTTATACTACAGTTATTGCAGAGATCAAAGAAAATATGCCATGAACGTTCAGTCACATTCTCAATAATTAAATCATGAACATCATTAAAAAATTGTCAGAACAGAAAAAAAATTAAGTATCAAACCTATACAATTAATTTAAAAATGAAAAATTTGACTTTAGATTCTAATACTTTTTATACCACATCAATGTGTCTTCTTTTTTTGATCTAAACACAATGTATTGTCAAAATTAGCAGATTAATGTTGTTTTTATGGCTAACTGAAGCTGTTCCATGGACCTCCCCAAACATGTAAACTGCAATTTTACTGAAAAAGCAATTTCACTGCCCAAAACATGGCATGGCACCAGTGTGAGTCAAGAAGAAAATGTGACAGACCTGACTAGGATTTGAGACAAGGCCATCTCAATCATCTCATCTCAATTGAATTAAGACCATATGGTTGAGATTTATGACCATATGGTCAAAAACTATTGAATTAGTTTCCAATGTATAATTTTGTCAAGACCGTATACTTTACTTGACCCACAGAATGAATATTTAGACAAGAACAAAATAGCTCAATCACCTGTGTGGTGCAGTGGTAAGAGCATTTGGAGTGAGGAGTTGGTCCTTACATTGTGGGTTCAATTTCCACTTGAGACAAACCAGTCCTCTGGAGGAGACTTTATAAACTACCCGGTAAGTTCTGTTTCCTATTGTCACCAACATGATGCAGTGGTTTGAGCATCTCATCTAGAGTCGCGAAGTTAGGAGCGCTGTTTCGAATCCCACTGTGGGACATGGAGACCGGTCCTTCGGATGAGAGCGTATACATAAAGCAAGGTCCAGTGTTGCAGTAAGTGCAGGAAAAAGAACTCTCACTGCTCAATGATCCTGAGTGTCGAGTATAGGTCAAAATTTGTAGCTCTCCTGATCTCCATCAGCAAGTGGTGGAGTCTCAATATGAGTGAAAATTATTGAGAAGGACATTAAACAACATACAATTAATCATTCCGTGTCCTATTAGGCGCAAGCACAAAAACCCTTCTAGTACACTGCTCAAAGTCCCAATGTGCCACAAGGGACAGTCTCAATATGTGTAACAAAATGTTACACAAAAACACTGACAAAAAGTATGATTAATTTATATAATTCTCTGGAGCAAGAACAAACTTAATAAGATCAAACACAAAAGCTTCATGTCTAAAAGATAAAGTGCAATCTCTAATCATTTGATAGTACTTATAGTTTCTCGTTTCACTTCACAGGTCTTCTTTATGTGCAGTCAGCTTATCTTGCAATTGCCTGCGTTAAACTTTTTTTTTCATTTATCATGTTTATAACCTACCCTCAGACATGTAAGAGGAGGATGATCACATTCTTCTGAGGCAGTGGTAGGAGGAAATTCATTGGAAAGTTTCTCAACCCCACAGAGTTTACAAGATGCCATAGTTCTACAAAATAACAGATTAAATTATGGAAGGGAATTACCGCCAAAAGTCTATGTATCTTACTTTTATTCTTATTCTGCCTACTTCTTTATGCTTTGTTGTTATTGTGATTATATGTCACTTTATTGTTTTCATATTCGTCTTAATTACATTTCACTTTGACTTTTATCATTCTTCATTTTGTCTTTACTTCTATGTTGCTTTATTCTTGTAAATTCATTCTACTTTCTTTTAACTTAAACAGTTTCTTTAATAAATTATTAGCATATCTCTACTACGAATGTTAATTCAATCACGCTAACAATGAAGCATATTCAATGAAGACGAATGGAAGTTGTCAAACCGTCAAAATTTAGTGCGGCATTATAACGCTAGGTGGCGTGGTGTTCGCTACGAGTGTTGGTAAAACTAGGTAAGCAAACCCGGGTCGGGTTATTTGAGATTCTTCAATACAACTATATCAATCGAACTTCTGAAGGCTGGATCCGATCTCCCGATCCAATGATGGAAACTCCATATTTATTTTCTCTGGGCACACGGGAAAAGCGGCTTCTTTTTTTCAGACATATTTTTATACTATACTGAATATGTTCATTTATAGGCCGACCCACTTTTTGTAAGAGTAAGGGTCAAATAAGTAAATGTAGTACGTATAGTATAAATTTGATTCTATAGAAGAATTTGAATCTAACTCAAAACCCACCCGGCCCCCGAAATAGGATTTCATTGGCGTCGGAAGCTAACTGAAAGTTGGGGGGGGGGGGGGGGGTTAAGTGTAAGAATTTTTTTTTAGACCTTCAAAAAAAAACCTGACAAGCAAAAAAAAAAAAAATGTCCATTTTCCAAACACAAAAATCCTATTTCGTGAGAAGGGGTGGGCTGGGTATAAGGTTCGAACTCCAGTGCCAAAGTTGTTTTTTTTCAAATACCACCACTTTCCCCATTTTAAACCTTTACTGCATCGTGTCCATGGAAAGTGGGGAGGGGGGGGGGGCTAAACCTACGCAGGAATGTTCAATGTCTATACTAAGTCTATCTTTGGAAAGAAGTGGGGGCTAAGTCCCCCCCCACCCCTCCCCGGTTCCGACGCCTATGTATTTTCAAGTTTGGACAATTCCCTGGGGTTTATTTTGCGCTTGTCAAGTTGTTTTCAGCCGGGTAGCTTGAATATTTATCCTCTTGTTGCCCCCCTCCCCACTTTCAAAAACGATGCTACGTCACTGTTCTCTCGCCTGAAAAATATATATCTACTAAAGTTATTTGTTGGATATTTGAATTACAGTTTAATTGTTATAAAAATGTTAAATATTTTGATACTAGTTAACCCTTATAAATTGGGTTGTTTTTCAGAACCTTCCACTGGACTGAACTTTATTTCACGACAGATAGTAAATGTTGATGCGCGTGATTCTAGGGACAGGGCTTTGCAAAGGAGTGAGGAGCGTTATGGGTAGGCAGGCGCGGATCCAGAATTTTTTTCCGGGGGGGGGGGGGGGGGGGGGGGGCAACCAAGTAAAAAAAATCCAATCCCAGAAATTTCTTGACAAGCATAAAAAGAAGAAAAAAACTAAACTCGCTCAAACGTCAAAATTCTATTTCGTGTGTGTGTGTGTGTGGGGGGGGGGGGGGTCCTTGTTTTAGTAACCTTGTTAATTCCAGGGGGTCCCCCCCCCCCCTCTAGATCCGCGCATGGAAGGCGAAGTCTGAACCAGACTACATGCACCCAGGCATACTAGAAACACCCCGGTCTTTTTTTCTGCGTTAATATTTTATATTAAAATAGCACTTTTCAATAAAGAAAGAAATATCTTTAGTACGCACCGTGTTTGTCATCAACCAGGAGAGCAAAAAAAAGATCCTAAAACTCGAAAATTCTATTTGGTGGTGGTGAAGGGGGGGGGGGTCGTCAACTTTTTTCAGTATTAAATTTTACTCATATGCCACTAAGTACATGACTTTAAATTGACTATTAGTACTGCAACAAAAAGTGTAAGGGATTAGGGATGGTGGGCAACAAGCCTTTCGCTGAACTTTTCCAGTAGTAAAAAGTTACGTTTAGGAAAATGTTTCGTGGGCACCCTCCCCTCTACCGATGAAACTTACCCCATAGGAGGTCGTCCACCCGGAAGTCGGTATATATATATATATTGAGACTTTGGAAGTGTGATTGTACATTGTATAATTTCCTTTTCGAGAATTTTTCACTCAAATGGAGAAGCCACCTCTTGCCGGTGGAGAGCTGCAAATGTGTCCTATATACTCGGCACTTATAGCCATTGAGCAGTGAGGGATCTTTTTTCGTGCCAGCACCTACAGCGACACGGGACCTCGGATAATACATTCTAGATCTCATCCGAAGGACCGAACACCACATCCTAAAGTGGGATTGGAACCCACGACGGATTGGTCGACTCCTTACTACTGTACTTCGTGACTCTAGAAAGAGCAGACGCCGTAACCACAGTGCCACGCGGGCAACTGCATCCAAGGGGAGAGAGAGAGAGAGAGAGAGAGAGAGAGAGAGAGAGAGAGAGAGAGAGAGAGAGAGAGAGAGAGAAAGTCATTATCCATATGCACTCGTGAAGATTATCTATGTTTAAATAAATTGTTAAAATGATTTAATTATAAAAAACTATCAAAATGATATTATTTAAATAATTATTCATATAGAACCAGGGACCTATATACTACAGTATATACTAGTATATAGGTCCCTGATAAAACGGATAAATTTTCTTCAAAAACTGAAAACGTTAGTATATATAAACATTGTTTTACGATTTGTTTTACGATTTAAAAAAAACTATTCGGGGAGGGGTTGCTAGGAATGGGGGCGAATTGCTATATATAGCGAGATTTCCCACGGAAGACTAGCTATATATTGAAACTTCCCCGGGGGGAGTCCCACTGTGTAGTCTTCCGAAGGAAGCATCACTATGTAGTCAGTCTTCCAGGGGAAATCTTACCATCTAGCGAGACTTCCGAGGGAATGGCATGTATCGGGTACATACCTGGACTTATAACAAACATCAGTCTTTTAAAAATTTAAGTTTGATTAATAAAGTATTAAGGCAGAAAATTGAAAAAACTCGAATAACCCCGGCACGGGTTTGCTTACCTAATTTTACCAACACTCTTAGCGAACACCCCTGCCACCTAGCGTTATAATGCGGCACTAAATTCGGACAACTTGTATTCGTCTTCATTGAATATGCTTCATTGTTTGCGTGATTGAGTTAACGTTCGTAATAGTTATAATCATTTAAGAAACTGTATCAATTTAAAAGAAAGTAAAATGAATTTACAAGAATAAAGCAACATAGAAGTAAGGGCAAAATGAAGAAGGATAAAAGTCAAAGTGAAATGTAATAAAGACGAATATGAAAACAATAAAGTGACATATAATTACAACAACAACAAAGCATAAAGAAGTAGGCAGAATAAGAATAAAAGCAAGATACATAGACTGTTGGCGGTAATTCCCTTCCATATTAAATAAGGAGTTATTTTAATCATTTTTTTCTTCAAATAAATACACAGTTTGATTTCTCAATGTTTTTGTGATGTGAAATATTGAATTCAATGATCATTTCAGCATGCATGAAACTCGAAATATGTCCAGAGAACATAAATACCCCACCAATTGGACATGTATGTATAAAGTAATATTTAATGCAACATGAAAATTTGTATTAGTGTATGTAGTTTGATGAATAGTTCTTGAATAGTTTCTTAAAATCAAAATAAAAAAAAATTTGATCATCCATTGCGGACCAAGCCTAACCCTGGGGTCATGATTAAAACAAATGTGAATCTACACTAACCTCTGAGGATTTCTCGGATGGATGCAAGACTAACCCTAAATAAGTCGAATACTTGTGCAAGGACTAATCCTAATCTCTCTCTCAAGTAGGTGCAAGACTCACTCTAATCAGAAGAATTAGTGCGCAAAACTAACTCGTAAATGATATATGTCATAGTTGATTGAGCATGAGGATCTTGTGGACCTGGGGACCAGTAAAGTAAAGTCTACCTCATGCAATGTAAACCAACTTTTATTCGTGTGCGAGAAATTTTCATGAGGTTCGCGACAGTCTCATCATTGCAAATATTTCTATTTATATAACCGGTCCTTTAAGTCTCTGTGTCTACTAACATGAAATTCAAAAAGGTTTGATCGCGAAAATTAATCATTGCTAATTAGTTAACCCCTGGTAAATCACGAAATAAAGTAGTCGCGAATAAAAGTTGGTTTACAGTACCTCTTTGTCCATTCCCTTACCAAAGTAAAATTATTGCAGCAATATTGCCGCTATATTGCGGCAACATTGCAGCAACACATTTTTGTCACCAGAAACAAGCTTTTTGGGTTAGTGAAATATCACCGCTAGCAGCAACAAGTTATGGTGACATTCTGGCAATACTGCCAGAAAAAAACTTTCTGGCAGTATTGCCAGAATGTCGCCAGAAGATCTAGGATTACCCATTAGGCATTTGTAAGCATGCTCAGTCATTTACTACCTCTTTTTAAATATCAAAGTACTGAGACAGTACTGAAAGACGGGGTCAAAATAATCTTCATGCTAGATTTCACAAATGTGATTTTTTATTTTACGAGTTTTAATAACAACTTTATTTTTTTCATTAACATACTAAAAACAAAACTATTAATAATATACATTAACATTTTTCATTTAATTTGATTTGAAGTAGAAATTTTAATAATTGCTCAGTCTGGAAACCTTTCTGAACTGCTCCGAATTTCATCAGGTACGAACTAATAATTTTTCCGGAAGTAAACAATGGATGATGCGTACAGTCATAATAATACGCAGGATAGTACTTTGTCTACTAGTGTTATTTACAGTTAATATTTTCAGTTTTAAATTATCAAAATACTCTATTAGTTGAGTTAGACAAAGGTTCATATCAATTTCTTCAGTTTGAAACAAAATGTTTATGTTTTGATTGAAACAATTTCTGCACTCTTTCGTATGCGTAGATTTAATTCATGTGTTATCACCACGGCTTCCGTTTTCTATTTTTAGGCCTCTGAGAGTAAACTAAAAGACGGGGTCACATGACCCCGTCTAAAAATGGAAGGAATTCAAAGGCAAGCATGTTTTGCTTCATTACTGAATGGTATCAAGTCAATTGGAGTTGTGAATTGTGTACAATAGGATTAGACATGATGACTAGTAAGACTGAATAATGTGGAATAGCCAGAAAAAAAAGAATTTCAGCAGTTTCCGTGGCATGGCCTTTTGAAAGAAATTATTGGAATGTGTATTATGCTTTGCACCCATCTCTTAGGGGTCAAAGTGTTAAGGTCAAAGGAAAGGTCATGGTTAGGTAAATAAAGGTTGATGCAGTTGATACTTGAAAGTGAAAAATACTTAAATATATGTATCATCATATAAAGTTTGAATTTTAAACTATGTATCTTAAAACACTGTTAAATGGTACACATCCCTTTAAAACTGAGCTAGGCCTAATAAAAACTATATTTATTTTTAAAGTGAGGCCAAGGTCAAAGGAAAGGTCAAGAAATGTTGATGCAGTTGAATAGTTCTCATCAATATCTATCAGCCTATAAATTTCATGAAAATACCTTAAATACAGTCGTTTTGCCAGTTCCAGATTTTGGCCAGTTCCGAATAATTAGTAATTTAAGGACTGATAATTCATAAATTCAACGGAGTATAATTAATTTGTTATCTATGGTAAGAAGGCTTAGGCCAGATAAAATTAATCTTTAGATTCTCATCCCCGCCCGCCCCTCTCAAAGTGTCCCGCCCCGGTGTTTTTTATTTTGATTTTTGGGTGTTAACAAAAGTATTTTCATTTATTTTTTTCAGCAAGAATTCAGGTCAAAGTTTAAGAGTTATCTCCCGTATGTATTAAAAGTTGCGTGTCACTATTTATAGTGAAAGAGCCATGTGAAGAATGGAGAAAAATCGGCAATAAAAGCAGTTTAAACATGTCAGTATAATGAAGGCAGAGAAGAAAAAATAGCATACACACATCTAGATACCAACTCTGGCATGAACAAGTTTTTAGAGAGATTTTAACTAAAAAAAAACGAGGAAAATGACACCTGGTCTAAGTTTAAACGATCTCATACTGTGTGTGATTTTGCTTTGAAAAAAAAAACATCGTTGGCAGACTTAAGAGAATGTTAAGTGGTAAGGAAATAATTAAACTTAAAACTGTTCAGGCCTAGGTTTTTCAGTAGAATGTTTTATTAGGCCTAGAATATTTTATAGATTTTACATACATGACCTATTTTAGTGTCGAAAATGTCAAGTCTCAAGAACGATCTTGTTTTTGAGGAAGGTGAAAATCTATGATATTTAACAGAAAACAGAGGAACAGAGAAGTCATGCATGCACAATTTATTGGTATCCCCACCTCATTTTGTTTGGCATGTGCCGTATATATGTGTATTTGATAATTTGTTAAATAACTAAAAATATTTAATTTTTTAAAGCAAGAATCTTCTTTAAATATTTAAAAGAATATGAAAAGAGTAAAACCTATTCATATTGGCATTAACATAATGAAAAAAAAGTGTACGAAGAGTCCATGTTTTGTTGATACTTACAATTTAACAATTATAAAAAATAAAATCCGCCCACCCGCCCCAATTTTTCAGCAAATTAGGATGAGAATCTAAAGATTAATTTTACCTGGCCTTATTTATGAGTGTTTGAATTATGTGAAGTTTTGATTTTTTGCCGTCAGTTTGGTTTTGTTATCGTACTTGAAACAGTCGACATACTTTTTCAATGCAACAAATCTGAATCACTGTGACACGTAAGTTTGCAGAAAAACCTCTGTAGATACATAAATTTTTCAGATAAAACAACGTTCCAGGTATCAAAAGTAAGTTTGATATGTACTCTAACATATACTAAAAACTTGTCAAAAATAAATATTTAGAACACTGGAAGTTATCGAAATATTTTTGTGCTCTTATTTTACCAGTTCCGAATACCCATTTTTAAACACTATTATAAATTCACTCTTGGTTGTTTTCTTCATTGAAAAACAGGATAAAGGGGTATATAGTAATGTTTGTCCATCCATTCGTCTGTCTGTCTGATACACCCTGGGGTATCTGTTTCTTATCCGCAACCCCTCTTCTACCACTGAATGAAGTTTAATGAGGCTTCACAGAATTTAATGAGTCGTTCACAGAATCTTTGTTTAACAGTGACAAAGTGCACCTATTTTATTTTTGGATCTGGCATATAATTTGGGCTCCCTGAGAAAAACATAAATACTGCTATTCTTTGTAATATTGAAAGGTATATCCATCTCCTATCCGCAATTCCTCCTATACCACAGAATAAGATTTATGATCAGTTTAGTACAGGACATGTTTTGTTTCAAACAATGGAGAGCTATATAAAAGACTGAATATCCAGCCATATCATGTTAAAAGAAATCTTAAATGAATGTCGATGATAGCATAACCGGACATAAACCGTGCTCGTACACAAACCATACAATGAATAATGAAATAGCTGATAAACAGTATCATAGTCCTACTCTACTTCTTTGCATATCAAAATTTTCTTTGAACATGTTGAAATATTTTTTCAAATAAGCCTTTAGCAGCAATTTGACGATCGTCTCATATGGATAAAAAACGCGACTTTTCAGTAGGCTAAACATTCTATATTCTGACGTCATTTTCTGAGTTATTACTTCATAAAAATTATAAAGTGACATCACAACATGTGTATATTTTTCTGATCTTTCCAATGATATCAAACTCAATAATTTCCGTAAAACGGTTAAATTTTTATCAAACACTTGACAGAACTTTTGAATTGACCCTCGTTAATTCGTAATTAATGATTTTTTCATGAGTAAAATGCACAATTTTCCACAATATTTTTTAAAAATGTGTCTTCATCGGGATCGTCGATGTCCATATTTGTCATGTTGTAATTTATGTAGAATGAAGCGTTACAAGTTTATATAAGGGAATAAATTTAGTATATTTTTTACTAATTATCATATATTTCCAATTTTTTCATTTGAATATTATTGAAAACATGAAAATCAGTCATTTGAATTACTCCTTTATTTCAATCACGCTCGAGATTCATCTCGAAGTTGTCTTTTTGATTAGCTCTCCTAGGTGGTAGAAGTTATCATTGTTTGGGTATATTTTGACATCAGTATTGACTTTATTCCGTATTATTTAATGAAAAGGATGCTTATATCTTTCATCTCTCAGACTTTACACCTCAGAAACCAAAAATTTAATTTGAAATCTTTCTTTTAATTTTTAGCAGTGTTTAGGTGGAATAGCTACAATTTGTCAAACTCATCACTTACTTTTTCCTCTCTCCTCAGATATATTTCTGTTTGGATAAATTGGAACTATCATAAACTGAAAATAGGATTTCAGCGAAGTCTCCCACTTCGTGACTAAGCTCAACAATTTTCTAAAACTCACTTTTACTTTCGATTTCTATTCGCGGAAAAAATATATGGGCGATTCTACAGCAAAGAAAAGGGTATTCACCTTATATTTTTATTTTTTAATATTTGCGAAATAAAAAAAAAGAAATGAAAAAAGTTAACAGTGTATTTTAAACGAAATTCTTACATAATGGAGTAGTAACTGAAACTCTAATTAATATCTATTAAATTAGCAAAATTTTTGAATAGTATACATTAGTAAGCCTACCATTCCCTTTCCGAAATAGGATGATCTTCAGACATCCCACGTGATTCAGCAGAAGCAGGGGTAAGGCGACATGGAATCTATCTGAATGCTTGTCATGTTAATCTGGCTATATGTTCTGGCTGGAACATATCATAATTTTATTACACATTTTCTCTTAATTCCTTAACTCTTCTTTATTCCTCCAATGTATACGTCATATGTCAACATCATGATACAGAAACAGTCAAAACATTTTTGAGAATTTGCCAAAAATGTTAATTTTCTAAAGGTAAGAATTCGCTTTTATTTCGTATGAATGGCTTTATTCTTTATAAAAATATGATATTGTGACGCGGCTCGAAACGTCAACAAAGTTTGGGTTCGGATATTTCACGAGCCAAATGCGTAATGTAGCGTAACCTCCTCAGTTTGAAGAATTCACAAAAGAAATCTAAAATACTAAGACACTATGAAGTTTATTAAAATATAAAGATGATGTGGGATTGTTGATAAAACAAGGAAATGAATGATATATAAATTCAAACACCCATTAGACTATTTGTTACCCTAATATTATTAAAGAAAATTACTGGTGAAGTTTTTGTATGATAACTCTGGTAAATAAATTGTGGTGAATCGACGCCACCAACAATTATCACCAATACTCTTCTTAGGAACAGCTCTGGTGAATCAACGCCACCAACAGCTTTCTATAATCCGGTCTTATCACCTGTAACTCGGTGTATAAAAACATCACCAGTACTAATGAGTTAATTCCTATTGAATAAGGGTTATGTTTCAAGAATACTACAAGCGCACCATGTACAATCCAGATTTCACCTAAATTTACCAATGAAACTATTCCAATTATTAACCATAAAATCACCAGTTTAAATTAACAAATGATCCAAAAGTATACCAATTCACGGTCAGCTCTTAGTTGGGCCTCTGACATCTTCGGGATTCTAGAAGAACTGCAAAGTCTAATGGTGACTTTGTTACAGTTTTTAAATGCGGAAGCAGCAATCAAAGTACTTATCCCACCAGGAGGTCCCATCTTTCCATTTAGCCTGCTTACTAAGATTCCGGCTGACCAATACACAGATCTTATCTGAATGCAACTTTGTGTAAAGCTAGGATTATATTCCATCTTAGAATTAAGATTGTTTTACTTACTCAATGTCTAACAAGATTAATTATAAACTTTTAAAATATTACCTAAGAATTATATGACTGTATAACAATATGCAGTGAATTATTAATTCATGAAAAATTAATCACTCGAAAACCACAATCTTGAAATAAAAACAGGAATAATTGCAAATGTCACTTTGTAAATCTTTCATTCAAAAATATTAAATTAATATAGCAGGGTTCTCATTAAGTGCCAGCGACTGGCGATTTCGCCGTCTACTTATACACTGCATGGTGCCGGTTATTTCACTTTCAAAAATCAGTAAAGAAAATCTGTGCTTCAGAAGAGAATTTTGGTTATCCCGTTTGTCTTGTTCAACGTAGTGAATAAAAAACGTAAACATATAAAAATTGTTGTTATTTGACGCTTTCCTTGTAAGAATACGACCCTCTATTTTTAAAAACGTGGTGATGATTCAGGAATCGCGATCGAAACACGGGCGATAACTCGAACTCAGTGCATCTACCACAAAGATTTAAGAGAGTTCCGAAAGCAATCATGGCGTGTCGGAGAAAAAAAACGTTGAGAATATTAGTTGAATTATCGTCTTTATTTGGATTATAATTTAGGTTTAAAGGCATACGCAACCTCAAAAAAATTTGTTGTAATTAATTTTGAAGTTATTTCCAGTGTAAATCCCTTTGTATTAACTTAAAATTCGTTTCGGAACGAGTCTGTGTTTTTTTTTTTTAGCAAGATGGGCTCCTAAAAAGTGTCATATTGAGAAAAATGAAACAAGTCAAAATATGCCCAGATAGGTCCCAGAAGCCACCTCCTGCAATGTAAGAATTAAAAATTCCCCGGACCCCCCACATGCCCAAAGGGGGGAAACCTCCCTCTCGGACTCGCCCCCCTCGGGCTGTTGGCCCTCAAGTCTGAAGTGCCCCCTATACATCGAGGCGTCCGAGTCCCTATTTTTCTCCAAAATTCACCATAAATTATCACAAAAGCGAAGTTATTTTCGCACTTCACCGTAAATTATCACAAAAGCGAAGTTATTTTGTCCACCCTTCTGTTTTTGTAATTCATTAAAAAAATCCATTTAAAACGTAAAAATATCGTTCCTATCTTATTAATCCGTTTGGTGCTATCACTGTTGAAAAGGGTGAATAACAGCGGGCCTTGTATCTATTTCGCTGCATGCTAATGACTACTTCATTGAATACTCGGTCGGAACTCCTCTAGAATTTAGGATTCCGCAAATGAAAAATTACATTGTTACAAGTTATACACAACAGTACGCAACACAGCTGGAATCTATCGATGTCATACCAATGGTAGATCATTTTTATTGTTAAAATGATTGAATCATGCTGTAAATACAGACATGCATGTATGTTTTAGAGCTATTACCGGTAATCTAGTTTACTTATTAATCTACACTTGTAATAAAGTTTTTGTTATGTGGTTTCTATTATCCATAATTTTAAGAATTTACAAAGATGGACAGTAATTACATGTATAAGGAATTAGAAAATGAGCTTTAAGGTAGTTCTACACTCGGCGCTAAATGGACTCAAGGCCAGATAAAATTAATCTTTAGATTCTCATCCCCGCCCGCCCCTCTCAAAATGTCCCGCCCTGGTGTTTTTTATTTTGATTTTTGGATATTAATAAAAGTACGGTATTTTCATGTTTTTATTCAGTAAGAATTTGGGTCAAAGTTCAAGAGTTATCTCTCGTCTGTATTAAAAGTCGCGTGCCGCTATTTATAGCAAAAGAACCAAGTGAAGAATGGAGAAAAATCGGCAATAACAGCAGTTTAAACATGTAAGGAACAGATAATTTGTCAGTACATGTATAGAGAAGGCAGAGAAGAAAAATAGCATAAACACATTTAGATATCATCACTTACATGAGCAATTTTTAGAGAGATTTTAACTAAGTAAAAATAGAAAAGGAAAATCACACCTGGTCAAGTTTTAACGATCTCCAGCTGTGAGTGATTATGCTTTGGAAAAAAAATATATCTTTGACAGACCTTAGAGAATGTAAGGTGCTAAGGAAATGATAAATCTTAAAACTGTTCAGGTCTAGATTTTTCACCAGAATAGTTTATAATCTTCGTCTTTGAACATTTTATATATTTTGCAAGTATGACCTATTTTAATGTCTCGAACATGTCAAGTATCAAGAACTCGATCAAATTTTTTAGAAAGGTGGAAATCTACGATATTTTACAGAAAACAGAGGCATTTGTCAGTAAAACTAAAAGGTATTTGGGGAAAGGCTGATGAGAAGTTATACATAAACAATTTATTTGTATCCCCACCTCATTTTGTTTGGCGTGTGCCGTATTTGTGTACTTGATAATTTGTTAATTAACAATAAATATTTAATTGTTTTAAGCAAGAATCTTCTTCAAATATTTAAAAGAATTTGATCATGAAAAGAATAAAATCTATTTATATTGGCATAAACATGATTAAAAAAATGTGTACAAAGAGTCCCTGCATGTTTTGTTGAACTAACAATTTAACGATAATAAAAAATAAGAAATAAAATCTGCCCACCCGCCCCAATTTTTTAGCAAATTAGGATGAGAATCTAAAGATTAATTTTATCTGGCCCAATCTTAAAAAATCTGCTTTTATAAGTTAGATATACATCCCAGAAATCAATGGACACAAGAAAAATTATATGTCAACATGTTCACTTTTCCGCTATTGCCTATCGGAGTACATACCCCGAAATGTAAAATACTGAAATTGACCTATTCTACATTTTGTTGCATTTAAATGAATTAAAGTCTAAATATTCAACTTTAATACACAAAATAGAGTAGAAATCTCTTAGTAAACCATATATAATCATTGTTTTGCATGAATTATTATAATTATTTGCACTTTGTTAGGCTAGTGTATCATGAAATATGAGAAAATGTGCTTCACAGGTCAATCTCGGTCATTTTAGAAAAAATTATGGACTAAAACTTCAAAAATTTGCATTCTTTTTACTAAACAAGAAATCTGTGAGCCAATGCTCACTTAGGAATACCCCCGCTCTGATGTGAATAAACACTATCATGTTAATATACACAAGTTCCATTACGGACAGATGCACAGACAAACAGGAAGTTGACATCAGATTCATATCAAAATTAATCCAACCAAATGGCATGCCTCAACATAGAGTGTATAGAGTGTACTAAAATTTCAAGCATCTACGTTGAGTAGTTGCTGAGAAAACTGCGACGAAAATTTGTTATATATGAAACGGACAGACGCACAGACAAACAAGAAGTTGACATCGGATTTGAACAAAAATGTATCCCACCATATGGCATGCCTCCTATAAGATTGTGTTAAAATTTCAAGCATCTGAGACTAGTAGTTGCTGAGAAAACTGCGACGAAAATTTGTTAAATATGAAACAGACAGACTCACAGACAAACAGGAAGTTGACATCGGATTTAAACAAAAATGTATCCCACCATATGAGATGCCTCAGAGAAGATTGTGTTAAAATTTCAAGCATCTGCGATGAGTAGTTGCTGAGAAAACTGTGACGAAAATTTGTTATGTATGAAAAGGACAGACGCATAGAC